AATTAGGGTTTTGCGTCTTTTGGTAGAGTGAATAATCGGTGTGGAGTGTGTACTCAATTTGGTGATTAAGAGTGAGTTTTAGATAAGAAAAAGTGTATGTTTAGAAGTAATAATCATAAGTGAGTGAATCATTAGTTAAAACCCTAGTACACGCGATTTAAGGAAAATCGATTTGAACCGACGTGTACCGTTCGCTACCGATTGAATACACCACTTGACCACCACTTTATTACCTTAATATCCTTGTTATTATTTCATAAATATCAGCCCCTTAATCAGCCTTGAGAGGGCCGAAATTGTTGACTAAAAATAAAGGAAAAAGAAGAAAACTTTAAGACTTAATCTTGGAGTGACAAGTGGCAACCATCCAAGGGTTGTTTGACCAACCAATTTCCTTCATTTTTATCACCAAATTCACTTCATTTCCTCTTCATTTCTGCACATTTTGGCCGAGCTTGAGGAGAGAAGAAACCAAGTGAGAAAACTCCAACTTTCACCTTGAATCATCTTAGTTTGAGAGAAATCACCCAATCCAAACCGATTAAACTTTCATTTTAGTACTTAGGAAGCTTTGTGTGGTAAAAGTTGTGGAAGAAAGGGTGTGGTTCTCACCTACAAGCACTTTTTGAAAGGTATCTTGGCTGCCTTTCCTTTTTCTCTTCTTAATCTTGCTAAAGTTTGGATAGAAGCTCTTAATCTTGGTTTATGACGGTTAATTATTGAGTTTTGTATGATATGGTGAAATGTTTAGCTAGGGTTTGATATTTTTAGTTGTGATTATTGTTTTTATCTAGTATATGATGTTAATGAGCTTGGATAGGGACTTGGGGTAGTGATTCAAGACATAAATGTGATTTTCAAGCATTGAATCATCAAATTCCAGAAATTGTAGGCCAATCTGTCCTGTTTCTGACCTGTATATTCGAGTATGATAGAGGCTGAATCAGGTCTAGGTCAAAACATAAAAATTGTAGAGAATGGAGTTATATAGATTTCTGTAAAATTTCAACTTAATCGGACCACTGTAATGTCAGAAATGATAGAATTACCCCTGACTGCCAAATGCCCTTTTTGCGCGGAAGTGTTCTATTTTCTCTGAGATTGCATATTTTGACATTGAAAATGAATGAATTGGCTGTCAATGTCTTCACAACACTTGTAGGTCTATGTCTTAGCTTCTAAACGGCATATAGTGTACCCCAATATGATAAGCGTAGCTTCAGTTGTGACCAAAATACTATAAGACGTCAAATCTGCTGTTTAGCTATTTGCCTTTAAAATTGATTTTCAGTCACATTGCTAGACTTGTCTTGTAATAGTATGACATTGAGCCTATTTGAAGGGCTATTGTGTTAACATTTCTTATGTGTGACCTTGGGCTGAATTGAGAAAATAATGAAGCCATAAATGGCTGAAAAATAGCGAAATAGAAAGGCGTGCCGCCAAAATTTTCACTCAAGGGTTAGACGTGTGTACTCACGACTTGGGCGACGATTTGAGGACGAATTGAACTTGATTTGTCTAGGGTATTCAAGTCTACTTTCGTAGAGATATATAAGCTGAAATTTAGCCGAACCTCGTACCCTTGAGAAAAATGAAAGTAACGGCCAATAAAAATACGTTATTCTCGTCTTTTCGACTCAAATGGGAATTTCAAAGCTTTACTCACTTTATTACCAAAACTAAAAGAGCGAGCATGAGTTTTCTAGGACATGAAACCAAATGAGTTTCAATTACTTGTTTTTCATTAAACGAAACGCTTAAATTTCAAACTTTAGTTGATTTCAAAGCTCTTAAACGATGTTTTATCGTAGATTTGGACTCCAAACCAGGAGTAATACCTGAACGTGATCCGAAGAAGCACTAAATCTTTGGTGAGTGCGTCAAAATACATGATTGAGCTTAATACTTGTTTTCAATACTTGACCAATGTGATCGAATGATATGTGATCTGTTTGATCGGGCAAGGGTATGCTTTATCGCACTTGCCCTAATGTGCCATATTCTTGTTCATTGATTGAAAGTGACTTGATATATATGCATATGATTCGTATCTTGTCTGGAATTCCAGAAACCCTGTGGCTAGTTAATCGAGTCGAGCCGGCAAGAGTTTGGTCGATTCGATAACGAACCCTGGGTCTCTAGTTTGTCGAGTAGAGTGTTATCTCCTCGACTAATCGGTATACGCGAGTATTACCCTCAGTGTTTATCTTGGAGTTCAGGCCCGGTAAGGGGTTTGGTTGGTGGACGGAGATTGGAGTTAAGTGGTGTATTACTGGACTAGTTACCTTACTTGAATGTTGAGAGAGTGTCAACAGCTATGGTGGAGCTAGTTTACAAGAGCAACTGTATCCTTTTACATGAAATGCTGAATATTTAATGTTTGTTCATCCAAAGTGTTATTGCTCATTTTCTTGATTTGTTAATGCTCGCTACTTTACTATTATGATATTGTTACTTGTACTTATTGGTCAACTTGCTATTTGGGACCTCACTGAGCTTTAGCTCACTCTATTAGTTTTGTTTTCCTTACAATGGGTGCGAGCAAGGCGTGAGACTTGTACAGGCTAGCGTAGTCTAGTTTTTAAAATTTTGTAATTGTACTCACACTAGTCGCTCGATTAGGGTTGAATGTATTTGGAACTCCAATCTTTTGATGTATTTGGGATTGTATGGAAGTTTGAGATAGAAATGAATGTATTTGTATGTTTCAAATTTGACAACTGTTGATTTATTTGCGTTAAGAAGTTGTGAATTATCTTATCCGAAATAGTGAGTGAGTCCTGGCGAGAGTTAGGCAGGCAGTCCGCTAAACCCTGGGGTATGCCCTAGGGGAAAGTAGGGTTGTCACAGGTGGTATCAGAGCCTAGATTTAAAATGATTTGGGTAGATTGAGTGATTTATACCAAATATTGTTTGGTTACAGTTTGATTATGATAGTCTAGGGTTTCACACTCACGAATAGGTGTTTAACCAAGATTTATTTGTCTAACTTGCTCATTCTCGCGATGTTACTTGTAATGTAGGTTATGGAGAGTAAAGATGCCAGTGGGGCTGCCGGGCCATCTCGGTTAGAACCTACCGGTCAGACGCACCTTGAGGGGCCTATCTGTCGCGTACTTACCTACCAGGAGAGTCCCGGTGGGCCTATGTGTCGGTGGTCTCCAGCGCGTAAGATCTGACACTGCGACTGCTGGAAGACTTACTCCTACCCCGATAGGGTAGTACTTGCAGTTGACGATGAGAGGAGACGATTGGGTAGCGTCAATCGTAGGTGTCAGACAGAGATAGAGCGTCTACAGGCAGTCCTCTGAGTACAGGGTGCCAGGATTCGAGAGCTTGAGGTTTCGGTTCTTGAGAAGCAGGAACGGACTAATGCCTTCAGGGAGCAAGCTCAGGTAGCTAATGGTCGCCTTGTTCAGGTAGTTAGAGATGTGAGAGACCGGACCGACCGTATTTTGACAGAGTGTGGGGCCCTAGTGGAGGATGTGGTGCAGGATTTGGCCGAGGAGGGTCAAGGGCATGCAGTCCCTAGTGATGCTAAGGAGGACCCGAAGGAGTAGCCGGTTGCACCTGCAGAGTCGGTTGGGTCGGCGTCTAGCTAGATCCCTAGTTTAGGGTTTTTGAGGGATTTTGTGAGGTAGTTAGGGACATAGTGGGATGACACGTCCCCTTTTGTTTTTGAATTGGACGTGTTAAGGTAGATGTATATAGGGTTTGCTTTTGTTCTATGTCCCTTGGCTTGTACAGTACTTTCTACCTCGTTGGCTATGTGTATAAAGAACATGTTTATTTGAAATGTATTTTATTACCTCTGCTTTATGATTTGGACGTGTTTTATTTGAGCTGTACTTTATTTTGTTTATATTTATATAGTTGATTAGTATTTATATTGATATAGTTGATAAATCAAGAAGCATGGAAGGTAGAAGAAGTCAGGGTCAGGGAGCTACTCGAGGGCACGGTTCTAGCCGTGGCCATGGGGGTAGACAGGAACGGGAACCTGTGCAAGAACCAAGAGAGGAAAGAGGTGAAACAGGTGAGCCGCAACTGGACCCCGAGCGGAAGGGGGGATCAGGTTGCAACGGCGATTCAACAGATGACCAATATCCTTGCTCGTTTGGTAGAACAACAGGGTCAAGCCCCTGTGAATCAACCTAGCGATCCCGAAATGGGGCAAGATAGAGCCCTAGAGAGATTTCAAAAGTTTTCTCCTCCGAAGTTCTTGGGAGGGCCGGACCCTGAAGGGGCTGAGAGATGGCTAGAAGATCAATATATTCACCGCTTTAAATTATGCGGAGGATAGACAGGTGCAATTTGCTATTTTTCAGTTTGAGGGACCGGCCAGGGCATGGTGAAATGTAGTAAGGGCTAAGTGGGAGAGAGAGGGCACTGCATGGATCTGGTTGAATTTCGTGCAGGAGTTTAACGAGAAATAACTCCCACCGATAGTTCAGAAAAAAAAAAGGGAAGATGATTTCATTAAACTCCGTCAAGGAACCTTAAGTGTATCTGAGTATGAGACTCAGTTCACTAAGCTATCAAAGTTTGCTCCCGAATTGATAGCTACGGAGCAAAAGAGAGTAAGGAGGTTTGTGCAGGGACTCAATGTAGAGATACAGGAGGCCTTGACGGCAGCCCAAATTAACACTTTTACGGAGGTTTTGGAGAAGATTCAGAGAATAGAAATTGCGAGGGCACAAGTAAAGACGTTCCACGTAAAACAGAGAGGGGCGTCTGGTGGAAATCAAAGGCCGGCACATAGTGATTGAAACATACCACCCCCTAAAGCCGGTCGTGGAGTTGGAGGTGGAAGGTTTACGGGTTCATCCAAGGGAGATACTCCGAGGGGAGTCCAGAGTGGAAGGTGACAGAGGAGAGGTGTCCCACAAAGAGGCCAGACATCCGTCCCCCGAGTATCGTGTGGGTATTGTGGGAAATCGAACCATACCGAGGATAATTGTTGGAGAAAAGCTCAAAAATGTTTAAGGTATGGAAGTATGGAGCACCAGATTGCCAATTGTCCACTAATCAGTGATGCTCAATCAGCTGGCAAACCAAACCCTAAACCAACCAATGTAGGAGGGACCAGGTCAAGGGTGCCAGCCAGGGTATACTCTTTGGACCAGCAATCGGTACCTGAACCATCGAAAGTAGTGGAAGGTACGATTCCTATTTTTCATTGTCTAGCCAAAATTTTGATAGACCCTGGTGCAACCCATTCTTTTGTTACCCCCGCATTTATGTTTGGAATTGATGTGAAAGCCGAAAGGCTACCATATGACCTAGAAGTGAAGACACCTACGGGTAACCAATCTTTACTTGCCAATGAGGTGTATAGAAACTGTGATATTTGGGTTGGTGAGTGGAAATTAGTCATTGACCTTATAAGTCTAACTATTAAGGGATACGACGTTATTTTAGAAATGGATTGGCTAGCTCATTATCATGCTCGAGTAGATTGTCGTATGAAGGTGGTTGAGTTTTGCATACCGAGTGAGGCAACTCTAAAACTAGACGTGAGGGGTATGCTAGCCTCATCTGCCCTTATTTCGGGAATAAGGGTTAGGAAATTGCTTAGTTATGGGGCACGGGGTTATCTAGCTTTTCTAGTTAACACTCCAGGAGAAAAGATTAAGTTAGAAGATATGCCGGTGATCAATGAGTATCCAGACATGTTTCCGGAGGAGCTGGTGTCATTGCCACCCAAAAGAGAGATTGAATTTAGGTTGACCTAGCACCTGGAACTACTCCTATTTCAAAAACCCCTTATCGAATAGCGCCCGCTGAACTTAAGGAGTTAAAATTTCAATTGAAAGACTTGCTAGAACAGGGATTCATACATGAGAGCGAGTCACCTTGGGGCGAGTCGCCTTGGGGCGTTCCAGTGCTATTTGTCAAAAAGAAGGACGGGAGTTTAAGGCTATGCATTGATTATCAAGAGTTGAATGCAATAACCATTAAGAACAAATATCCTTTGCCCCACATCGATGAGTTGTTTGATCAATTACAAGGGGCCGTGGTGTTTTCTAAATTGGATTTTCGACAAGGATATTACCAATTGAGAATTAGAAAGGAGGATGTGCCAAAAACGGCCTTTAACACTCGATATGGGCATTTCGAGTTTGCGGTAATGCCTTTTGGCTTAACCAATGCCCCAACGGCCTTCATGGATTTAATGCATCGGGTGTTTAAACCTTATTTGGATAGATTCGTGGTGGTGTTTATTGATGATATCCTAGTTTATTCGAAGACAAGGCAGGAGCATGAATAACACTTGAGAATAGTGTTGCAAACCCTAAGAGAGCACCAGTTGTTTGCTAAATTTAGCAAGTGTGAATTTTGATTAGAGAAAGTGGCGTTTCTAGGCCATATAATTTCAAAAGATAGACTTATTGTAGACCCGGCTAAAGTGAAAGCTGTTGCCAAATGGAAACGGCCGGAGAATCCTACCAAAATTTGAAGTTTTCTAGGTCTAGCGGGGTACTACCGCCGGTTTATAAAGAATTTCTCAAAAATTGCGGTACCTCTAACTAACTTGACCAAGAAACAAGGAAAATACATTTGGGATGCTAAGTGTGAAAATAGTTTCCAAGAGCTTAAGAAGCAATTGACCATGGCTCCAGTGTTTGCTTTGCCCAACGATAAGGATAGCTATACGATTTATACCGATGCTTCGAGAGAAGGGTTAGGGTGTGTTCTGATGCAAAATAGGAATGTAATTACCTACGTTTCTCGGAAGTTAAAGTCTCACGAACCAAACTATCCAACCCATGACTTAGAACTTGCGGCAGTTGTATTTACTTTGAAGAAGTGGCGGCATTATTTGTATGGGGTGACATTTGAGGTATACACGGATCATAAGAGTCTTAAATACTTATTCTCTCAGAAAGAGCTAAATCTGAGACAACGTCGGTGGGTGGAGTTTTTAGAAGACTATGATTGTACGATTAATTACCATCCAAGAAAGGCCAACGTCGTAGCAGATGCTCTAAGTCGAAAGGCTCAACTAGCAAGTTTAATGGTGGGAGAGTGGAGCTTGTTAGAAAATGTATGTGAATGGAACCCTCGTCTAGAGCCGCGGAAAGTTATTTTTGGAAATATTGAGGTGAAGTCGACACTGTTGGATCGGATTAAAGAGGGCCAAATGAAAGAACCATCGGTACAAAAATGGGTGGAAAGAGTGAAGAAAGGAGAATTGCCTGATTTTAACCTAGGTCCTGATGGGATTTTAAGGTTTCGAAATCGCGTCGTTGTACCTAATGATGAAGAACTGAAGAAGGAGATTTTGGAGGAATCTCACCGTTCTAGGTATACGGTGCATCCAGGTAGTGGTAAGATGTACCAGGATCTCAAAAGCCTGTATTGGTAGGATAATATGAAGGCGGAGATTGCCCAGTTTGTACAAAAGTGTCTTACGTGCCAACAAGTGAAAGCTGAGCATAAAAAACCGTCGGGTCTGTTACAGCCTTTAGAGTTACCTGAATGGAAATAGGAGTACATAACGATGGATTTCGTATCAGGGTTGCCACGAACTCAAAAAGGTCATGATGCGATTTGGGTGATAGTAGACCGATTAACTAAGACTGTACATTTCTTGCCAGTTAATATGAAATATTCTTTGGAGAAACTTGTCAAACTCTATATGGATGAAGTGGTGAGACTACATGGGGTACCAGTGAGTATCGTATCCGATAGGGACCCTAGATTTGTATCTCGATTCTGGCTAAAGCTGCAAGAGGCTCTAGGAACTAAGTTGAACTATAGTACAGCGTATCATCCTCAAACCGATGGACAGTCTAAGAGAACCATTCAAACTCTTGAGGATATGTTAAGAGTCTGTATTGTAGATTTTGGAGGAAGTTGGAGCCAATACTTAATCTTGGTTGAGTTCGTATATAACAATAGTTATCACTCTTCTATTCAAATGGCCCCCTATGAAGCATTGTATTGGTGACGGTGCCGATTATCTATTCATTGGGATGAAGTAGGAGAGAGGAAGATCATAAATCCGGCCACGATACCATGGGTTGAGGAAGCCTACGAAAGGGTAAAGGTAATTCGTCAGAGGCTTCAGACGGCCCAAAGCCGACAAAAGAGCTATGCCAATCATCGGAGGAAGGATTTGGAGTTTGAGATAGGAGATAAGGTATTTCTTGGGGTTACACCATTGAAAGGAAAAATTAAAGCAGGAAAAGCGAAAAAGTTACGATCGAGGTACATAGGACCTTTTAATATACTCTAGCGGATAGGAAAGGTGGCTTATCGACTAGAATTACCAGCTAGTTTATCTCGGATCCATGACGTGTTTCATATTTCTTTGCTTAAGAAATATCATCCGGATTCAACTCACATTTTACCACCAGAAGATATTAAACTGGACGACTCTTTGGCCTATGAGGAACGGCCCATTCGAGTACTGGATAGAAAGGTGAAGGACTTGAGAAATAAGCATATCCCACTGGTTAAGGTTCTATGGAAACACCATGAGGTGGAGGAGGCAACCTGGGAGCTAGAGAAAGATATGCAAGAGAAGTATCTGGAGCTGTTTGCGACTAAAGGTATGATTTCGAGGTCGAAATTCTCTTAAGGGGGAGAGAGTGTGAGAACTTGTAAAATCTCTCATATTTTTCTTAAAATTCCCTTCTATTTGGAATTTATTCCTTTATAATGGCCTTACTACTCATTCACTCCCTCAATAATTGCAATCAAACATAGAATCAAGGGTTTTTGCTTTCGTTTTCTTGTTATCGTAAATTAGGGTTTTGCGTCTTTTGGTAGAGTGAATAATCGGTGTGGAGTGTGTACTCAATTTTGTGATTAAGAGTGAGTTTTAGATAAGAAAAAGTGTATGTTTAGAAGTAATAATCATAAGTGAGTGAATCATAAGTTAAAACCCTAGTACACGCGATTTAAGGAAAATCGGTTTGAACCGACATGTACCGTTCGCTACCGATTGAATACACCACTTGACCACCACTTTATTACCTTAATATCTTTGTTATTATTTCATAAATATCAGCCCCTTAATCACCCTTGAGAGGGCCAAAATTGTTGACTAAAAATAAAGGAAAAAGAAGAAAACTTTAAGACTTAATCTTGGAGTGACAAGTGGCAACCATCCAAGGGTTGTTTGACCAACCAATTTCCTTCATTTTTATCACCAAATTCACTTCATTTCCTCTTCATTTCTGCACATTTTGGCTGAGCTTGAGGAGAGAAGAAACCAAGTGAGAAAACTCCAACTTTCACCTTGAATCATCTTAGTTTGAGAGAAATCACCCAATCCAAACTGATTAAACTTTCATTTTAGTACTTAGGAAACTTTGTGTGGTAAAAGTTGTGGAAGAAAGGGGTGTGGTTCTCACCTAAAACACTTTTTGGAAGGTATCTTGGCTGCCTTTCCTTTTTCTCTTCTTAATCTTGCTAAAGTTTGGATAGAAGTTCTTAATCTTGGTTTATGACGGTTAATTATTGAGTTTTGTATGATATGGTGGAATGTTTAGCTAGGGTTTGATATTTTCAGTTGTGATTATTATTTTTTATCTATTATATGATGTTGATGAGCTTGGATAGGGACTTGGGGTAGTGATTCAAGACATAAATGTGATTTTCAAGCATTGAATCATCAAATTCCAGAAATTATAGGCCAATCTGTCCTGTTTCTGACCTGTATATTCGAGTATGATAGAGGCTGAATCAGGTCTAGGTCAAAACATAAAAGTTGTAGGGATTGGAGTTATATAGACTCCTGTAAAATTTCAGCTTAATCAGAGTACTGTAACGTATGAAATGATAGAATTACCCCTGACTGCCAAATGCCCTTTTTGCGCGGGCAGTGTTCTGTTTTCTCTGAAACTGCACATTTTGACCTTGAAAATGAACGAATTGGCTGTCGATGTCTTCACAAGACTTGTAGGTCTGTGTCTCAGCTTCTAAACGGCATAAAGTGTACCCCAATCTGATAAGCGTAGCTTTAGTTGTGACCAAAATACTATAAGACGTCAAATCTGCTGTTTAGCTATTTGCCTTTAAAATTGGTTTTCGGTCGCATTGCTAGACTTGTCTTGTAATTGTATGACATTGAGCTTATTTGAAGGGCTATTGTGTTAACATTGCTTATGTGTGACCTTGGGCTGAATTGAGAAAATAATGAAGCCATAAATGGCTGAAAAATAGCGAAATACAAAGGGCGTGCCGCCAAAATTTTCACTCGAGGGTTAGGCGTGTATACTCGCGACTTGGGCGACGATTTGAGGATGAATTGAACTTGATTTGTCTAGGGTATTCGAGTCTACTTTCGTAGAGATATATAAGCTAGAATTTGGCTGAACCTCGTACCCTTGGGAAAAATGAAAGTAACGACCAACAAAAATACGTTATTCTCGTCTTTTCGACTCAAATGGGAATTTCAAAGTTTTACTCACTTTATTACCAAAACTAAAAGAGCGAGCATGAGTTTTCTAGGACATGAAACCAAATGAGTTTCAATTACTTGTTTTTCATTAAACGAAACGCTTAAGTTTCGAACTTTAGTTGATTTCAAAGCTCTTAAACGATGTTTTATCGTAGATTTGGACTCCAAACCAGGAGTAATACCTGAACGTGATCCGAAGAAGCACTAAATCTTTGGTGAGTGCTTCAAAATACATGATTGAGCTTAATACTTATTTTCAATACTTGACCAATGTGATCGAATGATATGTGATCTGTTTGATCGGGCAAGGGTGTGCTTTAT